ACCAGCATGACAGGAGCCCGATTCACACTGCTCGCAGTGTGAAATCTTTGCTTGAGGGCCTTGCTGTTCGCACATTGGAATGGCCACCTGTAGGAGCGGACCAGAACCCCATCGAAAACGTCTGGGGTCTCGTGAAACGTTGACTTGCGGCGCGGAATCTTGGAAGTTCAACGAAGGAGACCCTATTCGCGGCCATACAGGAGGAGTGGGAAGCACTTCGTTCACACCCCGAGATCATGGCCGCGCTTTACAATTCAATGCCATCTCGTGTGGCGCAAGTGATTGCTGCCGATGGGCGTTTGATTAAATAGTGAAAGTTGTGATTTTTCCTGGATAGCAGTTATAGCTATCGTTTTCTTTTTTCTGACTTATAAGAATAAACTGTTAATTTAGCGCGTTTGTTGGCTATTCATTCTGGACGCGCGATATTCAGTGGTTTACTGCATACCACTGAACGCGCAATATTCGCACCAGAAATGGAGCTGCCATAACGTCGCCGAGACAGAGCACAAAATTCATCACTGCAAGATGAGCATATCACGCAACTTCGTTTGAGAAAAGCTGAGAAACTGCATGTTTTCGCGCTGCATCGAGGAAGAAAGCATATTGCATGGTGCACTCGAGCCATACTATTACATTAGAGGCCTTTTCGCCGCTATATTATCGCTCGGAAGGACCGGTGCTTGCACAGCGACTGCATAAGTGGCACCTTGCGTCATCGTTTCGAGATGCGCGCCGTTGGAACGAGCGAAAAGGCATGCAGCTGCCGGGTGATATGGGACGAGCGTGCGCAGTACGCGCTCCCGGACGGAGCAGCGCAGCCGCCAGAAGGCGCAGCGACGCACCTCGGCACGCACTCCCGTGGTCTCTAAAATTATGCTCTGGACTGTACCTTGCCAGTGGGCAGAACGCTGTCTCTGGTAACGGAAAAGATGCAACGTGGTTGCGTTCAGTGAAACTATTTGAGGGCGCTGCTTTTTTTTTGCGGGTTCGAGCGAAATCACGTGCTAATTTTTACATTTCACGAGATTTCTTTATTCACAGAATGTGAATAAAGAAATCCCGTGTAATGTGTAAATGACACGCAATCCCGTGAAATGCTAATTACAATTAGCACGCAATTGACACGTAGTTGGAAGTAGTACTGACAGATGCCATTTCTACATGCGCACATCTACCTTATAGGCATTTTGATAATTAGGGGAGTACTTTGTATGTTACGAGTTTAATTTGACTATTATTTATTCGTCATTAACAAAAATTAGTAGTCGCTACTTCAGCATACTGGAAACAATATGCACAAGGTTTGTTTCGCGTAACGCCACTTCTTTTTTTTAATCGTGCTGCGTGATTACTGGGACGCCCTGTATATATTGGTAGAAAATTTGTACAATGTTGGTCGTTATTGGACAAATAAATTCCCGGGAATTAATATATTCTGCGCAGTCGACGCAGGAAGCTGAGGCTGCAATGAGGTCTTCGAAGGAACAACACTGTGAAATCATCAACTCAAATGAATATTTTTAATAACACCCGGTGTGTGTAATTAAAACCTGAGAATTTCCAGCCGTTAGAAATTCGCGTTGCATGCATATAATAGCGTGCAGCTGGCATGGCATGAAAACTTCATTTCACATAGAAATTCATAATTCACGTCTATATTGGATAGAGAATGAAGCTTTGTGCGTTTGCTAACTTTTTAGTGTTTTAGCCGATAGATAATTTCGATGCATATATCAATAACACTGTATCGAGTCAATATTTTGCAGTGTCTAACTTCCAACTCAGTGAGTACGGTGATTCTACACCTCACAAGAGAGTCGTCCTACCAGCGCACCATGGACAGCCTATAGTGAGGAATAGATTTCTTACTCACTTGGTTGAAGGTCAGCCGCTGCTGTTGGTGCAATCGTAAATAAAGCGACCAAGCCAATTTTCTCGGTATACCTTTAATGTATGGAGTAGTGGGAGGCACAACTCGCCTGATGAAACCCGGAAATGTAGTTCGCGCTCCTGCATGAAGCCTGGTGTGCTGCTTCATTCTACAGCACAGATTTTATCCAGAATTTATTGATTTTTTCCATCATCCAACAAGCTTTAGTAAAGTTTGAAAACACAGTACAAGAAAATGACGATAGACACGTGGTAGAACATTGGTTAGCATTTGTTCGTGTTAAATAATAACACTAACATGTGCTAAAGAATGCATTCCCACGTGTCTGTCGGGATTTTCTTGTACTACGTTTTCAAACTTTTTGTTAGCGTTAGCATTAGCATTAGCATCTGTTGCATGCGGATTACCACTAACGTGTGGAAAAGTATGCGTAGCCGATATGAGTTAGCGTATAAACAGAAGTCTGTTGGAATACGAGAGTTCTACGCGGTAGATATACATATCCACATAAAAGGGCATCGCGGTCGTGTGCATGCTATCCTACTTCCACCGACGCCACAGTTATTTTTCACCGGAAGGATCAGCTGAGAAGGAAAGCAGTGGACATCTTTTACATGAACAAAAAGATGCACAATACAAAAGTTTATTACAATAAACTAATGGGAAGTAAAATTTTTAGATCGATGCGAGAACGTTTTGAATAAAATACATATGCCATTATTAGAGCAATTGTGTCAGGGTCGCTAAGTATTAGATATGTAATATTTTTGACGCCTGTTTTGTGCTTGTTTTTTGATCGAAAGAATTGTTTTTTTTTCTTTGTTACAAGTCCGATGGTACATGTGCCTGTATCTAAATTCTCGAGTACGCACGATGTATGCTCCGTGCACGTCTTTTACAATGAAGTTGATTACCCAAGACGTCTGAGGCTTCGCGAATGCGTAGATATGAAGCATCTTTTACGAAATAAGCTAGTTCCGAGTGCACAGAGTGTCGTGTGTTGTGTGTCTTTCCTTGTCCATGGTCCTGTTTGCCGCCTCAACAGTATGCAATGATGATCTCTCACCTACTCGCAAAGTTGTCCACTTTACTGAACTTCTTTGTATTAGTTAATTAAATACCTTCTTCACAATTTTTTCGCAACATCATCAGCCCTTTCATACGTTCACTACCTTCTATCAGACATATATCTTTCTCATACAGCTGCCACTAATCGAACAGTTCATGCTTTATTAACTAAGTTTACCTACCCTCAATCACCGAAGCATGGTAGAGCTAAGTGAAAGACGTAGTCATGTCAACCAGCACGTTACATTATTAAAAAAAATAACACAGTGAAGTGTGCAGTGTTTTAAAATAATGTCGGCAAATACACAAACAGAACCAATATTCAAAAACGAAAACAAAACAAAAAATTCAGGCGCCGTTACTTGTGTAAAAACAATTGGCAGGTCCCTCGTACAGTGGAATCTCTGATATGCGAAGCATGAATTAGAAAGGTTGATATATCACTCTAAAATCAGCACAACGTTACGAGGTGGATGTAAAACATGCCGTACACGACTTCCATGCCATAATTAGCATCTATGGACGTGCCATATACATTCGTTCTCTAACAAGGTCAAGGTATACCAAATTTTGTATACGTGGAGCTCGCGAAATGGCTCTGAGCACGCTGTGAACGTAGCATAGCCACGTTTTACATGACATGCATATCATGATTATCAGGTTAACACGCGTCAATAACCTTCGCAGTTTATTCACGTCACGTGATACCAAATTTGGTATATATGGAGCTACCAAAATGGCGACAAGCGCATCATGAGCGTGGTTTGTTGTCATGTTCTTACATGACACTCATGTCATGATTATCTTGCTTGCACCAGTCGTACACCCTCGTCATTCATTATCTTCCCGTAACACAAAATTTGGTATATGTGAAGCTAGCAAAATACCCGCAAGTGCATCAAGAGCGTGCTATGTAGTCAAGCTTCTAAATGACACTCATTTCATGATTCTCATATTTGCACCAGTCATATACCTTCGTCATCCGTTATTTTCCTGTAATACGAAATTTTCTATATGTGAAGCTAGCGAAACACCCGCGAGCACTTCATAAGCGCAGCATAGTCATGACTTATATGACATGCATATCACGATTTCTACGTAAGGATCTGTAGTTACGTTCGCCATGCTGCAGTATTGTCATAGAATACCAGTTTTCAATATGCCATGTGAACGAAACCACTGCATGAGCATCAAGACCATGAAAGGTAAATTATGACATTCAAGACATATATGTCATGATTTTCTGTGACTAGTCAGTTACGCTCGTCAGTCATGTTATGCCATACCTATATGAAAACGTTCAGGAGAGCTAAAAGTCATAGGCTGAAAGATAGATAGATAGATAGATAGATAGATAGATAGATAGATAGATAGATAGATAGATAGATAGATAGATAGATAGATAGATAGATAGATAGATAGATAGATAGATACGCTCAAAGTTTCTGAAGTTCACGAAAAAATTCTTCGCATTTAGGAAGTGGGATACGAATAGAAATACGTAAGATGATAGGCAGAGTTATCACACAGAAAGTACGCGGGTAAAAACTGGCAGATCTAACGTACAGTGGGAATCGTTGATATGTGAAGCACAAAAAGGAAAGGCTGATTTGTCACGTTAAAATTAGCACAACGTTACGAGGCGGACGTAAATTATGCCGTACAGCACTTTGATGTCCTGTGGTGCAATTATATACAAATTCCAAATCCGGACGGAGGCGTTTTGTCGGTGACGTCAAAAAGTGGGCGGTCCACAGTGGTCGCGAGGACAAGGAGAAGCAAACAGCCAATGAGGGAAAAGAAGGCCTGCGTCATCATTTTGACGTCGACTTGGGGACCGTAAAGCAAAGTAAAAAGTGCTAGTAACATGTTGAGAAGTATTTAACTATTATTGTTCACTATTAAAATGTGTTGGCACTAGTTTTTAAACGTTCAAGAAGCAATACGGCACAATTCAAACGTATATTTACTGTTATTGTTTTGAAACAACGCTAAATTTAGCGGTAGGGTTAGTGGTGGCGCTAGATTCAACCCAGTTTCAAGCAGTTAGTGTTCTCGTATCTCCACCACCAAACGGCGCAACCAAACTGGTAGGTGTTCTGTGGCGCAAGCTTCGAAGCCGTTGGCTCAGTCGAGCGCAGTCACGGTGGAGGGCAACGGCACCGCTAGCCACCAGCAGCAGCGGCTGATCCACGTTTCCGAGGGTCAGTGCGCACAGGTGCTCGCCTTTATGACCGAACATCCACAGCTCGCGGCAAAAGCCATCGAGCTGCCGCACGGCGTCATGGTCGCCGACCGGCGGCGGCTGTGGCAAGTGCTCAGCGACGCGCTGAACCGCTGCCGCACAGGTGAGACGAAGAACCGTGACAGTGGAAAACCGCATGTTGTCCAAGTGCTGGGATGCCGAAAAGCGAAAAGTCGCGAAGCCCTTTAATTTAAATCCAATCCATGCCACTTTGCAGCCATTTTAATCCATCCGGTTCCTTTCAGATGGTCTCTCCGACCTTTCCTTCACCTTCCTCCGAAAACCGGAGAAAAGCAGTCACGTGACACCTCGTTCTACGTCACGTAGAACGTCACAGCTTTCGTCAACGCTCGAATGGGCCAATTACGTGCGACTCAATAAAACAGACCGCCTCCGTCCAGATTTGGAATTTGTATATAATCGCACCACTAATTATCATGTTGGGTGTGTCACTTTCGTCGTCTATTCACGTCACGTGACACCAAGTTTGACGTACGTTGAGCTAGCAACACGCCGCGAGCACGCCTTCAGCGTAGCATCTAGTCATATTTTACATGACACGCATGTCGCCATCATGTTTGGACTTGTAATTTATCTTCTTCACCTAATCACGTCACGGAATACCAAATCAGGTGTATGTGCAGCTAGTGAAACGGTGACGAACACGCTATGAGCAGAGCATATAGCCATGTTTTTCACCAGATGCATGTCATGATTATCATGTTCGGACATATAGTTCACCATATAAGACGTAATTTGACATATGTGAAGCTAGCGAAACGGCGGAGAGCACCCTATGAGCGTGGCTTGTAGTCACGTTTTACATGACACACATGTCATAATTACCATGTTTGGACTTAACATTTAATTTTGTCGTCTGCTCCCGTAACGGGATAACGAATTTGGTATATTTGAAGCTAGACAAACGGCCGCAAGCACGCTATGAGCGTAGCATGTAGTAACATGACACTCATATATGATTATCATGTTTGGACGTGTCAATTACCTTAGTCATCTATTCACGTCACGTGATACTAAATTTTGTATATGTAGAGCTAGCTAAATGACTGCGAGCGCATCCTGAGCGTGGTATGCTGTAATATTCTTACATTATATGCATGTATTGATTTTAATGTTTAGACGTGTCATTTGCCTTCGTCGTCTACTAACGTCACGTGATTCTAAATTTGGTATATGTGAAGTTAGAAAAACGGCCGCGAGAGCGCTATGAGAGTTGCATTTAATAATGTTGTACATGACAAGCATGTCATGATTATCTTGTTTCGACGTGTCATTTACCTTCGTCCTCCATTCACGTCCCATAATACAAAATTTTGTATATGTGAAGCCATAGCAAAACGACCGCGAGTGGACCATGACCGTGGCGTATAGTCATGACTTTCATGACATGCATGTCATGATTTCCACGTTAGGGTATGTCACTTATATTTGCCATGCAGTCATGTTATACCACACCAGGTTTCCAATATTTCATGTGAACGAAACTATGGCAAGAGCAGCTAGGCCATGAAATGTATACCATGACAGTCATGACATACAACTCATGATTCTGATGTTATGACTAGTCGGTTAAGCTCGTCATACACTCATGTTATGGCATACCAATTTTGGTATAGATACGATTATTGAAATGGCCAGGGGTGCTACTCTAGACACTATAATTCCGCCATATTGCCAAATTTCGTGATGGTGGCATTTCAAGCCAATTAGCGACGTCGTAGTAGCCCAATGGGTCAATCAGCATTGACCAATGGCGGAATGTGACAACGTGGCGGAGTTCGACAGTGTCCAGAATTACACTTTAGGAGAGCTAAACGTCATAGATAGATAGATAGATAGATAGATAGATAGATAGATAGATAGATAGATAGATAGATAGATAGATAGATAGATAGATAGATAGATAGATAGATAGATAGATAGATAGATAGATAGATAGATAGATATGGTAAAAGTTGCTGAAGTTCGCTGATAAAGGCTTCGCATTTTATTTATTTTCATATTTATTGAACAGTACTGTAGGATTTTGTAAAGTGGCTAGAAAAGTACACATGAGTATGGGAATAACGAAACAAAAACGAAAGCAAAATAAGAAGGCTTCAAGAGACAATGCTTCATTAATAGATCAAAAAATCAAATTTTACCAAAAAAAATTGTAAAAGTGACATCACGTATCAAGAAGCACCATGCACAATCTTCTGCAAACATTTATGTCATGGAGTACATGTCTATGTAAAATCAAGTAAGAATTCCAGTTTTGCAAGAAATTCAACCATAGATAAATATTGAAGAATTTGACTTGGTAATGCATTTCGTTTCAATAGTCCCTTGAAACAAATTTGAACGTGTCACATTTGGCCTGATAAGGCCTGATGTGTTTATTGTGACAGGTTCTGATGGAGTGGCGGTGTGGTGTCTGCACGTAGTCTTGTTTGTTTATGTCTATGTGGTCGTGATAGAGCGTAAAAAGAAAACTTCATTGCAGCCACAACACGCCGACACGCAATGGCAGGCAATGCTGCTTGATTTCTAAGGGCACTTACGCTCTGGTGTCGAGAGTACGTTAGTAATCAGCAAGAATAGAGGGATAAGAAACAGAAACTATGTCGGCGGGTTGGTCGTTCCGATAGTTAGACTTGTGCAGTATGGAACAAAAATATAAAACAAAGTAAACAGCTAAGTCGGTAAATGCGTTATATTTCCTGCAAAAATGAATGAGCGGGGTTGAGTACAGACCTATTTCATATTTGTAAACAAAGGTAGGTGTTGTCAATATATGTAGGTTTGTTGTAGTGACGTCGAGGCCCGTAGGCTCTGCCCAACTGCCCCAGCCGAAACCGCACAACCACCCTCTATGATCACGTGACAACTGGCGCAGGAGCGGCAAAAACTGCCTCCGAGCATGGTGTTTTGGGACGCCTTCTGAGCGCTTACAAGTGGTAGCCACAACAGAGGTAGTTGACGCGCGGTTGTAAGAGGGGCTCCTAAAGGAACACTTAAACCTTCTTGATGTGTAGCTCTAGCATTAAGAACCTCATCAAAACATGAGGCAGGCTATCTTAAAGGTGGGAATGTGGCTCTTTCAGAAATATCATCGCTGTTGCGGCAGTCTATATACATCACATGTGTACATGTTACGTCGTTAACTTTGCGAAATATGTTCTCGCCGTTACGGCTTTCTACGCGAAAAGTGTACATTTTAATTTGTTAACTAATGCAAGAAACACATACCTTGTTCAGCAGAAAGCTCTAGGTTACGATATGCTAATGCACGGTGTAAAAATGCAAAGCCACAGATTATTTCGGTGAATCCTCAAGTATAACAGTTGTGCCGAAGACGTTATTCATGAAAACAGCCAGGGACGATCTCGGTGACACTCATTGTCAGTGCGCTTGCGATAACGCTTCAACTACATACTGAGGACAATGTGGTACGTACTTTTGTACTTTTAAGGTCAGTGGCTCAATTTTTACGCTTGAGTTAAGGCCATCAAATGCGTACAGAGAGAGATTCGGTAAGTTTTCCGAATACTGTTTTTCTGTTAATTCTCACAGACTTGAAAATCTAGTAAAACGTACCGCAGCCACAACAGCCCTGCCCAGTACACTTGTGTCAGGTGTGTCGTCGCAGCCGCGTATACACAGGAAAAGCATAGTCTAAGCATCCTTTAGTTCACTGCGTATTTTATCAACGGTGTCCATGCAGAAAGAAACACATTCTTCATGACTGAGTAACATCTTTTGTTCACGCGAGTATAATGAAATCGTTTAGACGCGTCTACTACTTCCGTATTTATATCAACAAGGGCAACCGCGAAAAATATTTGCATTTCCAAACATATAGCCATGCCATCCACAACGTTCATGTGCTTTGAGACACGCATGCTATGCCTCCACAGAAGGTAAATTAAAGAAAAAATGCGGCGCATCATATTACAATGACACGCGATTGAAGAAGCTATTTTTTTTTTGCTGGGTAAGCCGCTCCGAAACGTCCCGATGAACTGGCGTCGAAAGCATCCTCTTCTGCGCCTGATCTTCTTGCGGTGGTTTTAGTACACACAAAAAAAAACTGAAAAAATAATTGGCCCAGTATGTGCTTGTAATCAGCAAATGCCGTCTCAAGACGACAGTCTTGCATGTGGAGGGAGTGAACAAAACATTTATTTGGTTTTCTGCGCAAGAAAATTGGTGAATTGTATTTCAGAGGCGCTGAGTTAGTGCCTCGAGCGTGAAGCTGAGGTGAACTGGCGCATCCCATCACTTCACGCGTGAATGCCATTTGGCAGGTTTTTTTAAAGACGATAGTCTTTCTTGGGGACCTTCGACGCAAAAATTTTGGTCTGCCTGTCTGTCTGGACATTTGTCTGTTTGTTCATTCTTAACGGCACCGGGATCTTAAAATGGCCGACCCCATCCGCAGCATCCACCAATGTTGCTCAAGATTTAGCGTTCATACAGTTCATAGATGTGCAATTTTCAATTAATAAGTAATTATTTACAATCCTGGGGCACCATGACAACACGTATATATTCTTCATGTGCATCGTTTACTATAAAACGCATACTTAAGTGATTTTAAGGACTGTAGCGCTTATCACGCTGCGCTGACCATCAAACGCTTGCACAAAAAGGCGAGTGTTTCCAACGCTTTGCTAAGACGCCATGGTGGTGGCACATACCCGTCGGCTTGCGTTCATCACCTTATCACCTCTGAGACGGGCGCGCACACCCGTCTCTGAGCCACGCACTTTTATGGAAAACAAACCGCGTGGTAGGTGCCACCACCGTGTCGTCTTAGCAAAGCGTTGGAAACACTCGCTTCTTCGTGCAAGCGTTGCATGGTCAGCGCAGCGTGACAAATGCTACGGTCCTTAGAATTACTTATGTATGCATTTTATAGTAAAAGACGCACATGCACAATATATACGTGTTGTTATGGTTCCTCAGATATGCGAAATAATTGCTTTTTAATTGACAATCACACACGTATGAACGCTGAACATCGAGGGACATTGGTGGGCGCTGCGGATGGGGTCGGCCGTTCGGAGTATCAACTGGTGCTGTTTAGAGTACCCAATTCGTGGTAAGGGTGGACAAACAGACAAACGTACAGACAGACTGACCAAAGTTTTAGCGTCGAAGGTCCCCAAGAAAGACTATCGTCTTCGAAAGAACTGGCTCATCTTTCTTGGACTTTCTCGCGCAAATCACCGTGAAGGCTCGTTGGTGAACCGTTTTTCCTCTCTTTGCATGGCGACAATTAGAAAACGCACAACGAAAACACAGCAGCAACTATGGTAGGCGCAGCGGCTTCTGCCTACTTAGCCAAATCCAACGCCCTACGACAGCGCCACCACATTTTAGTGACGCATGTCCGGCGGAATTTATCACGAATGGAGCTCAAAGCTAATGAGTTGTCGCTCTTCGGTTCGATGTTTGCCTTTTCGTCCACTTTAACCATTTTCCGTTTATGTCATTACTAGAATACACTACTGGTAAAAAAAAACAACAAATGATGCTTTCCATAATTTCTTGCTTCCAAAGAATGTGTTGTCTTCGTGGGGTTGTGCCAACAAAGGAACGAGCCCTCGATTAATTTTTTTCCTCCGTGCGTGTTCAAAATGGTAAGATTGGCCCGCAACACGATTGCAGAAAAGAAAATCTTAGACACTTACGCTGTAAATAGCGTAAATGAAAGGGTTGTAGCAGGAATTGCTCATGGCGAGCCAGTGGGAGCAGAACCAAATGACGTTGATGTAGCGGTATCTGGAAGTAAAATAAAAGTGAGACGTGTCAGATCAAAGTTTTCGAGGATCACAGCAATATATACCTTCGGAACATTTTTTCGATCTCAACAAATAGCCATACGTCGTTGATGCAGAAAAGTGGTAGAACACAGAAAAGCCATTTCATTCTTGTGTCAGCGTGAGTACTAGTTGCATTACTGCTACAGAGAGAACCTTTAAACGTACTTTCTGCTGGCGTCGCACCCCACGTGGCATAAAAACTCGAGTGGGGATCTATAGATATAGTTTGGTGTCAAGCTTTCTTACAAGGCGAAACTTGTCAGTTTTAGTTATTACCCAACACATACAGTAAATTTTTCTTCATGGTTACCACAACAATACCCTGCAGATGAAGAGAACCGATTAGACAGCTGACACCGGATATTGAAAAAGTTTTACCATGACCAGTGTTCGGTTTCAATTGTACAAAAACAAGCGTCCACTTATGTCGAAACGATGTATTTGATAACGGCACGTTCTCTACCAAATCTTGATTGTTCGCGTGCTGAGTACAGTGTGGCAACTATTACACGAGTATTGAACTCGGCAGCTCTTATTGTCTGACTGCACCTACGGTAGCTATGCGAGAACACTGAATTTTTACATCAAAATATATCTCACAAAGACTCACCAATAGCACTGATTACGAAGTGTAGTATGATTTTATTGCAGCTATATATTTCTTCGAAGAGTGAACGTGCAGCACATTTGCTCGCGTAACGTTTGACTGCACCGGCACTTTCGAGAAAAACCTCCACTTGAGCTATCTGCAGCACTCATTACCTACGTTTTCAGCGTCTGTGATCAGTTAGTTTCCTCTTTTGCTCATCATTTTCAGGCAAGCCTAAGTATGCTTATACAAAATCAACGCAAATGTAACTGTCAGTGAACAAATCGAAACAGTAACAAATAATTCACAGACTACTAAGTGCTAGTTATAACGTTCAGTAAACTGGGAGACAAGCTCCAGTACTTTGTGCACGTGTTTAAAGTTTAATGGAAGGTAATTCGTCTCTTTTATTGATTTGCTTCAAGTACGAACTTATTTTAGTCGATTGCGAGTTCACAGAAAATACTTTTGTTCATCAGGAGTAAAGAGAGGAGTTAGTGTATAGTGATTCGCATATTTCGTGGCATCGCGTCCAATGACATCCTTGAACACTTCGCGCGAGTTCAGCTTTTTTAGAAATGTTTATAACATGCGTATTCCATGGATGGCGTTTAGGGTACGGCTGAACAAGGCCGACATGCTTTTTATCACAACTATGATGATAAAAATAAGTTAGCGCTGCCATATAAAAAGTGCGCTAGCTAATTATAACCAGAGTTTTTAAAGCATGCTGATGCACTCCATGACAACGCGACCAAGTGCATGTTGCTGACTACATCAAAAAAGTCACACTATTGTTTTTATTTCCACTCAATTGTTTAATTGGCTCGAGACTGTGCTTAATCAGGCAAGTTTAATTTATCAGAATTCGAAGCAACAAAGCTAGGCAAAAACATCAATGAGAAAGTTGTAGACTGGCTTTGGAAACGTCCGCTTGAAGTTTCAAACGTTCTATTTTATAATTTAATAATGTTATTCGGCCTTCTACAAATGGGCTCATGTATGAGAAAAAACTACCACATGGAAGTTCCGCTTGCCAGCCCTCACTTGCCCTGAATTCCGCATTTTCTGAACTTTAGACATGTAAGCTTCCCATTTGGCTCAGTGTTTTGCCACTTACAAGGCGACATGGTCATGACGACAGTGGTGGCTCAGCGATGAAGAACATGCTGCTTGAAGAAGCACGAGTGATAACGAGAACATCTGCTCATCGCTGTCATAAACCATGACAAGGGAAGAGTATCGTTTCTACGCGGAAGTTTTGGAAGCACTGCCATCATAGTGCAGCCCTCCCCTATGTCGTTTTTCATATACATATGATAGTTTTTGGGACGTTAAACCTCACTTATCAATCAATAAATCAATCAGCAGTCATGATTCACAAGTTAATATAGTGCATGGTATATTCCTGTCATTCGCGGGCATCTGTGTAGAAAGCATGATAGTAATTAATGGGGTTTACCACACCAAAGCCACGATATGATAATGAAACACTCCGTAGCGGAGGTCTGCGGAAATTTTCACCACTCATAGAATTCGTTAACCTACACCTAAATATATGTGCATGGGCGACTCACGCGGTCACCTCTATTGAAAATGTTGCCGTTGCAGCCTGGATTCGATCTCATGACTTGCCAGTTAGCAGTGGAGCGCCATAACCACTAGGCCATGCTGGCGGGTATCTGTAGTTAGCAGAACAATACTGACACTTCATAAATAGAGAGTTAGAAACTGTAGAATCAGATGTTTCAAAAACTCACCAACGACTTTCTCATTGATACTTTTTGTCCACCTTTGTTGCTTCAAAAGCTGGTAAATCAAACTTGCCTAACTAAACGCTTCAGTGGAACACGAAAAGTAGTGTGATTTACTCAATGCAGTAGTAAGCAACACGCACTTCGTCGCGTTGTGACAGTGCGCGTTTGCAGATGTTTAAACTCTGGTATAGAGTTACCTGGGGACGCCGTAGTCTTGAAAAGGTAATGCGAGCCCATTTTATTATGCATCAATTGTGAATATACGGTACCTTGTGAGGAGGAAATAGACCACCAACACACCCAATAACAACAGATAACATAATTGGTCGGGCGCCGTCCATAATATTTCTGCGTTACGTGCGTTAAACATAATCCCAACAACCAGGCAAGTCGAAGGTAAACGGGCCCGCTCTCGAATGCTTCTTTCGAGCACACCCCAAATCTAGAAAAGCTGCAACACTGAGTAATAAAAAAGAAGGCGTAGCCTGGTTCACAACAAACGGTATTTCTCCTCTTCGTCGTGTCAGCCTTATAATTGCGCCGCCCACTTGCAGTTTAGGGCCCCTGAGAAATTGAGCTCTCAGAGCATTCCGGAGAAGCCCTGAAAATACCCCGCGACACAGAAATCATTGCTGGTTTATTTTTCAGCTTTTTTAATTTTTGGTCTCAACGGGGTCGTTGCACCGACCCACCACATAGCAGAATAGGAGGATTACAGGGCGAGATATTATTTAACCAAGACCATAAGGTGAAGTGTGGCTTTTTTTCCACGTTTCCTTCCACTTTCCTGATTTTCGTTTTTTACACTACCTCGTCGGCAGAGGCTTCTGTGGCTTTTCGCATCTCCCAGGTGTTTTGTTATATACAGATATTATATACACGCAAGTTAGAAGAACCCGAAAGCCAGGCTCACAAGTCTTCAACCACTGCGCCACCTAAGTACCCAAGACCACGATTTGTGGGTGGTTTATACAGTGACCTCAAGAAACCGCGGCATTTGCGACTAGATACGCGCTGAGATAATCCCGCTCACTGGTTGATGATGGGATAGAGCTCCTGAAGAATGTTGTACGTCTGGTAAGGCAGCCAGCAGATGGCGAAAATGGCCACGACCACCAGTATCATCTTAGTCACCTGCGAAGATGAGAGCAAAGCACGAGGGAACGGAAAATTAATTGAACAAGAGACAGGAAGACAAGAATAGCGGCGGAGGCCAGTCTTCTGTTATTTACATTGCTCTGGGTGAAGGAAAAAAGGGGGTCAGGGGGAGAATAGAGAAAAATAAAGGGACAAAAAAGATCATATGGGCAATGTCTCACACTCTGTCAAGTGGACACAAGGGCGTATATCTAGCACTAGTGTTACACAATACCCGCGAGACTCATGCACCTAGAACATGAGAATGGCCTAACACATGCTCTTTCACTTTGCATGTTACTTGGGAAGAAGCGGGCGTAAGCTGTCATGGTACACAAAACAGTTAAAAACACGCGCTTGCATTCCACTAAGGTGCATCAACGTTTTGGTTTCGAACATCGGCAAGTAACATGAAATGTGCAGAAGGCACTTGCTGTAAGAGCAAGCTAGCAAAGAATTCCTGGTTGTTAGTTCGGGTTTCGATTTTATTTTTGTGTCGACTGCCATATAAGGAAGCCGGTGTACGAGTCTGCTTAATCGGTGTCCTAAGTGGTTTTGCATGGAAGTTATTTCCGCAAGGCTAAAGCCATCATATCAGGACAGTCGTGATGCGTTATGCACATTGCGTTGTTTGCTCCCGTTTAGTACAAGAAATAAGCAAGCAAACAAACAAACGAAACTGAGTGGCTGAGGCAGACGCGCAGGGCGCGTAGATGTCACAGTTTTTCTGAGGCGCTGGTAAACTTTACGTTTTATATGCTATTTCACAAAACAGTGTGAGTTCCAAGTCTTTGATGTTAAAGCTTGAGCACAAAAAAGTCACATGCCAGACCGAGAAACGATGCATGAGGACAAGCGCTGACTTCCAAGTACGCTTCTTGAGTATGTTTTGTCTCCCTCCGTGCGGAGAGAGATTTGCTTGTGATTGCGTAGGTCAAGTATTTATTCGTTTGTTCCTTTATTAAAAACATAGTTACAATTTTCCCCTGGTTCTCGTCGTTTTTATTTCCGGTCTGTAACTCTTTTGCGCTCAAGCTTTATTTGTATGAAATACCAACTACCCTGCTCCGACACTTTCTTTTTGAGTACTGACGTTCACTAAGTTGTTTTCTATAACACTAGAGAGAAAAATATTAGTTTTGCCCTGTTTTTTTACGAAATATATCTGTGACGTTCCTAGCAAAAGGGGGGCTTTTATTGCATTTTTTTTCTCGCCGAAGAAGCTTTCCATACTCGGTGTACACTCGTGCATACAAAAGAATGGTAGTGACAGTTTTGCCTCCAGGTAAACGGGAGAATTAGGATGATGCCTTTTTGAGCAATACAGACAACAAACAGCAGCAATGTTTGGAGAAAACAGTAGCCGAAATAGCACTGTAATGGCTGTTCCGGCCAAGTGTAGTGATATAAAACCGCTTCTTAGGGGCCTGTTTGTTTCCTTCGATGGGAGCCCGCGCATTACCCACGCTTTGTGGAACTCTCGAAGGAATAATTGATTGAAATAACTTGAATTAAGTCCTGCGGTGCATGCCCCAGTGCAGAGTAGGTGACTCCCACGTCGAACCAAGCCTGTCGGTCGCTTTGTGTGCCTGCTGTATAGCTCAAAGCTGGTCGAGCAGACGCGCACTGTGCATGGCCACCTCCTACCCGTTCATCAATGAATCTTAGCTTGATTTAACGTACCTAAAGAACATCTGTGGTAGACTTTTCCCCAACGTACAACTATTAAATGAATTGCAGAACTTCCAAAAATCAGTAGGCGAACTCACTGTGTCGACTCACGCGGACTATATCGCACACAGACCGATGACTGTGTCAAAGCTTGAGTGAGTCCGGCTGAGTAAAATTTTGGTAAGTGCTGCAGAATGTGCTTTTGTTCAACATGAACACAAGTGAGTTCTGCTTGCGAGTACCGGTCCTATAGGTCGCTGGCTTAAGAAGAGTCCTAGTGAAGTCTGAGTAAACCCACACAAATAAAATTATGTTGAACATAAGTCAGACTGAGATGTTAGCATAAATGTCTTTCCATTGATTCTGAGTGAAACATGTTTATTTTGGAGTCTTTCAGTCAAATAGCTGCCAGAAATATCAGTAGAAAACTATTCATGAGCACATTCTTGACTCAGAGATGTGTGCGGTTATTGTCTTCGAAGATTTTCCTGACAACTGCCATCCGCCACGCAGTAAATTTTTTGCTTCAACATTCAACGTGCGATGAGCTGTCAATCTCACGTCTCAAGTTCTTATATATTCAATGTCTATTTCTGAGCGTGCAAGACGTTAAGCACATTCGAATACAAATTTTCAAGAGAAATAGTTTACAAATATAATCGTACGCCAGGACCGAAACTTATGACTGCATTCACTCAGAATAATTTGATCTAATGACAAGGAAAGTGACATGACCAAAGTCTGGATGTCCGTAAAGCAACCGGAAATTTGTTCCTGCTCACCTCCTTTCGGTAACGGCCACTATAGTCATCGTTCTCTGAGCGACGGTCATTCCCATTTTTATTCATGTCCACTTCAATGGCTACCATTCACTTTGGTATTAGCACATGCAAGTTGACCAGGTGATAAGAGGGACTTGGTGGAATTTCACTGAGCAGCAGTCGTTAAAACTTGATTGGTGGAGGGGGGGGGGGGCTGTCTAAGTCTTATGGCTTAGTCCGAATGTGTGTGGGGAAGTCCATTCAAAGAAGAAATTTCGTATTTCTTCTCGAAAAACGGTATAAAAATAAACTCTCTTCCGCACCGTAACGGGAGCAAAAGAGACAAAAAAGTAAAATGAGTAAGAAAGTCTGTGGTACCGTTTCTTAAATTTATGTCGTAGTGGTTTTTTTTTGTCTTCTATCATCTGTACTTTTTTCATGTTCCTATATCACATTGTCAATGCTATTTCGTTCGTTTAACGCATTATCTTCATGAAATATTTTCGAATAAAACTGTCAGTATTCCTAGGCGAAAACGGAGATCAAATGGTTACACACGAGCAGAATTACACACGAGCGCCATTTTAGGATCAGGAATAGGGATCGGCAAAAGCTGTTTTGTGAGTGACATATACGACGACAAGCATGCTCATTCGACGAAAAAGCGTCGATTTGGCCGAATGGCTTTGCTGAAAACCAAACAATTTATACTTTCCGTGAGAAGCTTCTCCTTAGCTTTCTCTATACCGTTTCTAGCAAACTGGCTTCTTTCAATTTTTTTTTTGCGTGTGTAAAGATTATTTGTGTTTTCTTGCTTTTTAAGAAAAACGGACTAAGTTACATGACGAAAAAATAGAATAGTTCTACATATATTCGTGAAGAAAGTAGTCGATTCCTGTAAGGACAATTTCTCTTACTAAAGCAGGTGGGCAGGAGTACAAAACTTAGAAGCATTGCGATGAGCGCACTTTACAAACCCCGTCTGCGGGCTTTACGTATGGACATATCTATTCAACGCCGCTCGATTGAAAGCCACGAAACAGTATTTTTTTATCTGTAGCAAGCAGGCTCTCGTGCAAGAAGTACTTCAGCGCTTATGAATACTTCACTAAGAGACACGCATAACCCGTGCCAGCTCAATGCCACCCTTTCAAGTAAAGTGAAACGCAAGACATAAAACAACCTCTTTACAGACATGAACTTACGAATGTTGTACCTTAAAGATTGAACGTTGAAACATAAAGTATATATATATATATATATATATATATATATATATATATATATATATATATATATATATATATATATATATATATATATATATATATATATACATATATATATATATCTATATATATATCATAAACAGCAATCTTCGATGTGCGAATTTTTCGTACAATGTAAGACGTGTGCTGGACCAATGTCTCCGCGGTAATTACAGTATACGAGCCATAAGTAGAAGTGTTCATCAGGTTAGGAGAATATAACCTCGGGTGTAGGAAAAATGGCAGGTTGATCACGGTTGCACTGACCACCGTCAGAGGGTAATCAAGTGGGCACGGTGGAAGTCGAGCCAAACGTACGTGCCTGGGGCCATTATCGTTAATACCCTCGAACCTTTCAGGTGCGAAGTGAGACGCCGAGTTACACTTTCATGGCCGACCTACGGCACATCACCGGGGGCGGTACGAATAATACGAATTCTCGCGAACTCGAACTCAAGGTAACTAAAGATAGGGGCTGGACAGGACAAGTAGTAAAGATATAAAGTGTAATGGCTACTTACAACTTGTACCGACCCTGCGTATGTCAGGTAATATTTCTTTCTTTTTCTGAAAATGTTAGCTCCCGGCTCTAAAAATGTAAGAAGCTTCATGTGAACAAGAAAATCTGTGCTCGGTTAGGCACAAGATTGAGGAACAGGAATTGAGACTTGGGAGCCTTCCGGGGCTGTTATTTCTTATGCTTAAGTATTGCTGTAACATCTTCGTTGTTGTAACAATTTTTTTAGCGTGGCCTGCAGTACTTCGTTTTAATTCTTCTTTAAATTACGTAGTATTGGTTTCGTAAGCAAGTGGAAGTTGCCTGAGGAAACTTACGTTGTGAAACAAAAATCTTTTTTCTTCGTTCCCGACAGGTGACTGTTCGTTAGGAAGTTTAGGAGCGTATTCTTTCATATAAAATTAGTGTGTGCGGGCATGCGTCGGTGGGGGGGTGTAAGCAAGGCACATTTAATGAATCGCTGGCAGTAAAAATTATTCTGTGTTCGTTCACTACGACATTTTTCATAGTTATGTCAATGTTTTCTCTCGCAATTGATCTTTTCTTTACCGACAACAAAAAAACATAAATACTGCGTGAACTTTCCTCATAACGGTGTGATGAATGTAAGTCTGCAATGGAAACACACACACACGCACACACATGCACACACACACACACACGCACACACATGCACACACACACACACACGCACACACACTCACACACACTCACACACACGCACACGCACATACACAAACACACACACGCACACACACACGCACGCGCGCGCGCAGTAGGTACTTTTTGATGGTGATTTCTGTGGCTTTAAGTGACAAAAGCACAATATGAATATGAGGCACATTGCTTTGGGTGAGTTGAAATTCATTTTGACCACATGAATTTTTTAGACGCGCACCTACATGTAAATTTAAGCACACAGGTGTTCCTGCATTTCGTCCCAATCGAAAGGCGACTATTATGGCCACAATCAAAATCCGCATAGAGTTGCTCAGCAGCACAATACTTACCCTCATCGTGAGCTACTATGACAGGTTGCATCCCAGGAATGCACAGCAATGTTCATACGACCACTCAGAAATTTACTAATCATTAAGAGTGCCCTTGAGCATGAACAAAAGCGATGCAAAGAAGGGGAAAAGAGGAAAAAGAGATCACTAATTGTAGCTAGCTGAGATTCGATAATGCCTGCGTGGACGAAAAAAATGAGAAAAATGCATCTATAGCAAGAACAAATGTGTAATCATAAAGTTTCGTACAACAGTTACTACAGTCGACTTTGGGGCTAATATGTATAAGAGTTGCCAGCAAGAAAATAAGAAAATTCAGCCACCATGGAAATGATGGGAAATACGTGGATTTGTCAAAACATCGCTTATCTCGCTTTATGCGGATTTCAGACTTTAGACACCAGTCAATTACAAAATAAATATTAAGTTGAAAATTATATATATTTTTTCAAGCCAATGTACCGATAATGAAGGCCTTCACACGTTTGTAAAAATGGCAGGTCACGGGATCGAATCCCGGCTGTGGTGGCCGCATTTTTGATGGAGGTGAAAATGCTGTAGGCCTGTGTGGTCAGATTTGGGAGCACGTTGAAGAAGCTCAGTTCATAAAGATTTTCACAACCCTTTACTACGGCGTCCCCAATAATCATATGGTGGTTTTAGGACGTTAAACTCTATATATCAATAATTCAATTTAGAAAAATGAGATTGTGCAGTATATTTCGTAGATTATGGGGTTCCTGTGGTGTCTGCTCTGGTGGTGCCTAGATTTAGCATCGCATATAATTCTATAAGTGTCAGATAATAATCTTGTTTAACCTTCGAACAAGTACTTTTTGTTATTGGTGATAAGTTAGCGTTCTCAGGAACGCAAAAGAGTAGATGTGTCTTTTTACTCGTGAATTGGTAATGGCTTGCTTACTTCGTAGTGTGAGACATGCACACCAATGTATTTTAACACGAAATTGTTTTGCACTGGGATCTACCACGGCTCCGCTGACGTACTTCCGCCACGGATTTGACGTTATAAATTTAATGAAACAGTTAGCGAAGAACAAACGAGCAGGAAAGTATGTGTTCCTGGGCGTGAAACCAGGGACCTGTTCAACCACAGCACGCGGCACTAACCACACCGCCACGAAGCATACGTTGTGACGGGTGCTAACGGCAAGTTATTTATTTACAACATATACCGTTTGGCGACCCTCAAAGCTTCGTAACTTCAGCGCATTTTTGTCATCAGTAGCCGGATCCCGCGAAGGCATAGCGTGAAGGGCGCTCTTAAAGTCGTCACCTCTAGCGTTTAGATCAATGCAGCGTTCACAGAGCGTGGTCTTTCCTCCATGCGGCGGCCTTCGCCACGTCTATAAAAGGAGCACGTGGGCTGCTCACTCACGAAGAAGTAAGGAATGCGACAGTTTCTCGCGTTTGTCTTGTGCATACTTGGGTGTTAGTTTCGTGAGTCTTTCTATTTTAATAGCGCGCTTGAGGTGTCGAACTGTGACTGTTGCTAGTACGCGCATGTCTTGTCTATGCTCATTTCGTGCGTGCCTTTTGCTTGAGGTGTGCGCAGCAAGTTATGAACTGGTTGTCGTTCTTCACGCGAATTCGCAAAATGCTATTCTAGTATTCATTCCTTCGCCCTTGTGGCGAAACAATGCTCAAATAACGCTAAACTACAAGTGTAAAGGCACGTTTCACTTTCGTGTGATACTGGTTCCCAAAAGGCGGACTAACCACATTTTTTCTACAAGATGCATAGTCTTAAGGATGAAAAACGAGAGAAATTCATGTACTATCTATCACTCCCAGGAAAAAATAACAATTCGGCAGGTTGATGTAACTCACAGTAATTACCAAAAAGTAATTACTGTGAAAAACTCTATAGGCGAGCAATCAAAGAATGAGAGGCGTGTGGAGTACGAAAGAGCGTAGGAACAACACGATGAATTCGGAGAAAGAGAGATTAAAAATGCAGATCCCACGTACAGTGAGAATTGATAATATACGAAGCACGAATGAGGAAGGGTAATATACCTCTTTAATATCACCACAGCGTTACGAGGCCCACGAAAGTAGTACACAGCAAACATAAGTAGAACTGTTATGCGCACTCAGGTACCTGGATAAGATGGAAGTATGTTCTGAATAGTCGCGTAACGACAGCACCACTAACGTTTGCAATACAAGCCCCAGATGTGGTAGGCATGTAAATTATGCTGTACATGACTTCCATGTCATGATTAGAACTTTTGGATTTCGTAGGTGTGTTCGTCGTCCATTCGCGCAATGTAAACCGAATTTGGTATATGG